GTGGGCCCGGCCCCCGCCAACCCACGGGCCCCCTGACTGAAGCCGCAGCCGCGGGGGGTCCCGCGCCTCAGAGGCTTTGCCAGAGCAAAGCCTCAGAGGCGCGGGACCCCTCTGCCTCCCCGGCTTTGCTCCAGGTGTCCCTGGTCTGCTGGAGGCGGTCCCCAACAGACCAGGGGCACCCGGAGCAGCTTTTCTCGCCCTGGAGGTCGAAGTAGCGGGACCGCTGCCCTCTGGGCGGTCCTGCTGTCTGCGAGCTCCGGGGTGAGAGAGCCCCGTTCGTAAGTGCGGATCCGACATAAGTCGGATCCGCGTAACTCGGGGACTGCCTGTATCTATCTTCTCTTTAAACTCTATTATAGTCCTAGCCTTCACAGCCTCCTCTGGCAAGGAGTTCCACAGGTTGACTACACTGTGTGAAGAAGAACTTTCTTTTATTAGTTTTAAACCTGCTACCCATTAATTTCATTTGATGTCGTCTAGTTCTTCTATTTAGGGAACTAATAAATAACTTTTCTTTATCTGCCCTCTCCACACCACTCATGATTTTACATCATATCCCCCCTCAGTCTCCTCTTTTCTAAACTGAAAAGTCCCGGTCGCTTTAACCTCTCCTCATGAGACCCATTCCAAACCCCTAATCATTTTAGTTGCCCTTTTCTGAACCCTTTCCAAGGTCAAAATATCTTTTCTGAGGTGAGGAGACCACATCTGTACACAGTGTTCAAGATGTGCGTGTACTATAGTTTTATGCAGGAGCAGTAAGATATTCTGGGTCTTATTTTCTATCCCTTTCTTAATAATTGATAGCATCCTATTTGCCTTTTTGACCGCCGCTGCACACTGTGTGGAAGTTTTCAGAGAACTGTCCACAATAACGCCAAGATCTCTTTCCTGATTTGTCGTAGCCAAATTATACCCCGTCATACTGTACGTATAGTTGGGGTTATTTTTCCCCATGTGCATTACTTTACACTTATCCACATTAAATTTCATTTGCCTTTTTGTTGCCCAATCACTCACTTGGTGAGATCTTCTTGGAATCCCTTACAGTCTGCTTCTGTGTTGACTATCCTAAACAGTTTGGTATCATCTGCAAACTTAACCACTTCACTGCTTACCCCTTTCTCCAGATCATTTATGAATAAGTTAAACAGGATTGGTCCCAGGACTGACCCTTGGGAGACACCGCTAGTTACCCTTCTCCATTCTGAAAATTTACCATTTATTCCTACCCTTTGTTTCCTGTCTTTTAACCAGTTCTCAGTCCAAGAAAGGACCTTCCCTCTTATCCCCTGGCCATGTAATTTACACAAGAGCCTTTGGTGAGGGACCTTGTCAAATGCTTTCTGAAAATCCAAGTATACTATATCTACTGGATCCCCCTTGTCCGCATGTTTGTTAACCCCTTCAAAGAACTCTAACAGATTAGTAAGACAGGATTTCCCTTTACAGAAACCATGTTGACTTTTGTCCAACAAATTATGTTCTTCTACGTGCTTCACAATTTTATTCTTTACTATTGTTTCGACTAATTTGCCCAGTACTAAAGTTAGACTTACCGGTCTATAATTGCCCGGATCGCCTCTAGAGCCCTTTTTAAATATTGGTGTCACGTTGGCTACTTTCCAGTCATTAGGTATGGAAGCCGATTTAAGGGATAGGTTACAAACCACAGATAATAGTTGAGCAATTTCCCATTTGAGTTCTTTTAGAACCCTTGGATGAATATCATCCGGTCCTGGAGATTTGTTAACATTAAGTCACAGACCATGCTTTAAGAACCACTGATTTAGAGCAGTAATTCCCAACCTTTTTTATACCGGAGACAGGCAAACCCATTCACAAACTTTCAGTGGACCAGTACCATTTTATTTGAATATTTGCATGTTCATTATGCAAATAAAATGTTACTGATCCACCGAAAGCCCCAGCTCCAGAACCCCCCAGTGCCAGACCCCATCCCAAACGCCTCAGTGCCAGCCCCCTACTCCTTAGAGCCCACTACCACCAGCTACCCCAGTATCAGCTTCCTGTTTCCAGAGCTCTCCCCAGTGCCAGCCCTGCTTCCATAGTACCCCCACTCCTAGCCCTGCCCCCAGATATTCCAATGCCCCTCAGTGTCAGCCCCTGCCTCTTAGAGCCCCTCACTCCTTAGTACTAGCCTCACCCTCACACCTCTCCCAGTATTAGCTTCACCCCCAGTGTCATCCCACTGTCTGAGAGCCTCCCACCCCCAGAACCTCCCCAGCACTAGCCCCGTCCCAGGAGCCCCCACCCCTCCACCTCTCCAAGTGCCTGCCCCACCCTCCTTACCTAGCCCTGCACTGCCTCCCAGTCACCAGCTGAGTGCTGCTACTCAGGTCACAGCTGCTCTAAGGTTACTGTGCCAGACTCCATGCAGCCTTCCTGCTGCGCAGCAAAGCGTTCTTCCATGGCTGGGATGCGACGCTGCCCCTGCTTGATGCTGGTTGGCTGAGAGGCGGGGCAGGACACGCTTCTCCTGCAGCCATGGCAGGAGCGGTATACCCCAGCCCCGGTAGCCAGAAATCCATGGCCCAGCCAGCGGTTGTGAACCGCTGGTTTAGAGGGTACAGAACAATGGCTGATCTTCTAACTTCCACTGTAAGCATTTTAGATATTGGGCATGGTAAAGGGCCATCGCCCCTGGAGACAACTTGGCAGGCCCATCTCCTCACCTTCAACTCCTCCATGTCCTCATGTCAAGCCAGCATGGGAATTTGTGAGTTGTTTGAGTAGCTTCCCTATGGGCTCTCTGAACCACTGAAGAGTATAGGTAGCTGTGTCTGTCATGCACATGTGCACACTCTTTGCCTCACGGCAATCTAATGTGCAAGCAAAAGAGACACTGTTCCTTTTCAGCTGTCCTTCCCCTGAGATGAAGTGAGCATCAGTCCACTTTGCTTGCCTTGTGCTTTCATTATAATTGATAGTGTTTAGTTTTATAACTTTTTATAGCGCTTCCGTTTATTTTTGTGGCCTTTCTAGAGCTTTTGTTTTAAGTTTCCCAAAAAGATTTCTTTGTCCTTTTTCTGCCCATCCCACTTCTGGAAATTGCCTTGCTCTCCCACTGGGCATGTCCTAAATTCCCACTCACGAGATCTATAGAGCTGCTACATGGTCTTCAGTTCATACCTTCACTTCCCATTACGCTATTACTCAGTAAGCCAGGGACGATGCCTTCTTTGGTTGAGTGCTGTTGCAATCAGTGGTTGGCTCCAACCCCACCTCCTGAACTGCTGCTTATGAGTACCTAATTGGAATACACATGAACAAGCATTTGAAGAAAAAATGATTATGTACCTTCCTGTAATTGTTCTTCAAGATGTGGTTTTGATGTGTATTCCAGTACCCACCCTCCTACCTCTCTGTCAGAGTAGCCGACAAGAAGGAACTGGGATGGGGGGGCAACAGGGCTATATAATCTGCACCAGGGAGGAACAACTCCAGGGGGTACTCAAGCCAATCCTACAGATACTGCAATGGGAAAAATCTTCTGTCAACCATGCACACATGCAGGTGCACACCTAATTGGAATAGACATGAACAATGCATCTTGAAGATCAGCACTTATGGAAAGGGATGTAACTGTTTTTTTTAATTTTAAAATAACAATAGCACAAATTGCAATGCTTCCTCCAACAGCTCAGTGAATTATAGCAGCAGAAAGTGCCTCTGATGATGACTCTTAACTGGGTATTCTCCATGTTCGCCACTGCCCAGTTCTCCACTGCCTGGCATATTGTGTGATCCCTTATTTTTGCGCAAACTGCTACCAAATCAGAATGACAGTGCTACATGCCCACTTTGAACAGGAGTATACATAAGAAGGTGGAGACTCGCCCCCCCCCCCCCCCCCCCAGTGTCTCCCGCAGGAACAGATAAGAGAGACATTTTATATACAAACTATATTTGGAACATGAAAAATGCTATATTTTTAAATACCGTTTCATTTTACTTACAATGCTGGCTCATTGGCTGGAGACAAGATGCATCAAGTAATAAAATACTTACATTAAAAATATCGGAGTACTTATCTAAAACTTTTGTTGCTGACGCTTAGAACGAGACTGATTTAATTTTCCTACTAAATTAGCCAGATTAATATGTGATTCTTTTCCCAAAAGTTGATAGATGAGGGAGGCAACCACCTTAGATACTAAGTCACTACTCCATTAATAACTTTTTGTTTAAAAAAGATTTTAGGTGTCCTTAACTTCAGTTTCAATAAATTGTCTGCCATATTTAAATGCTATTCAGGAAATAAGGTTGTGATCTTACAAAGATGTGTGCATGCTTAATATACATTGTAAGTAATTCCATTGACTTAGTGTAAGTCTTTTCAAGATCTGGGTCTAAATATTTATTGGATTGAAGGAAGCAGTCCAAGTCCTTTGTAAAGCATCTTTCTCCAATGTCTACTTGGAAATGTATTTGATGTTTCTGGTTTGTATTAAATTCCTGATCTTTCATTCTTTGTGCACATTAAAAACAGATAGAAAAGAAAAAACAAGAAAACAAAATGAGAAGAGACCAGTTAAATGACGAATACCTGGAGCTGCTAGAGAAACAGAGGCTTTACTTTAAAACAGTGAAAGAATTTAAAGAGGTAAGAGCATTTTTGTTTGTATTGGGTAGAGAGAATTTGATCCAATAAAACTACTGGTGAGTTTTTAAGAATACTCTTTGAAGTCATCTTGCTCAAAGGTAATTACTTTGAAAGGGATCAAAAATCATCTCATTGTTGACAGGAAAATATTTAGATATGTTGCCTTGCCAAGAAACAGTTTCACATCAGATAACTTTCACAAACCTGCTTTGGCTTATATATCTCAGAGTCAAATCAAAAGAGGGGTTAAAGCTCTCAGGAAACCACCAATATTTTTTTCCAGTTAACTTCCTATTATTACAGAGTACTAGTCTTCATTGCTGGGACTCTCATAGAAGGGAACTAAACACCTTTCATTGTCTAATAAATGATTTTTTAAGAAATCATCATTCAGCTAATTAAAATCTCATCGAGGAAAACCCTAGTACAGGGATGCAATTTGGTTTCCAATGCAAAATATTTGAATTAATTAGAAAGACCTGAATTGCTTGTAAATTAAATGCAATCTAACTGTATAGTTGAATATAGTGAGGCTTTCAAAACCCTTTGTTGGTCTGCTCTGCTCCCATTGAAGTCAGTGGTGTTTTTACTGTTATTTTCAATGGGAGCAGAGGTTAGGTCCACACTTACTTTTTGCAAATCCCATCATGAAGATTTAAGCTATAATGGTCTATTTGTTTTATGCATATGCACATCATAGTGGCTCAGGTAAGGGTTTGTTTTTAATGTACTGTAACAATACCTGTTCCTAGAGGTAATCAGGATTGTTTTACTCTTTATCTTATCTTACTCCACAGAAAAAATACTACTTTTATCCATCTGTGGCTCTCTTGTTCTGTGTGAAGATTGTTGTCTCATCCTATGTATAGATTGTAAACTCTTTGGCTACGTCTATACTACGATCCTCTTGCGGAAGAGGAAATGCAAATGGAACGCTCATTTGCATATGTTGCGCGCTCATTTGCATTTCCTCTTCTTTTCCCTTTTGCGCAAGAGAATCAAAGTATTAGATGTAGCTTTTGGGTGCTGATTCTGGATGATATGCTGGAAAGATTTGTCAGATATATATTAATGGATGCTGAAAAGCATGCACAATTGAGGAAGTATGTAGGTCAAGCTTCCATATAGTGCTGACAGTGGACTAAAATATAGGTTTACTCCAGAACTCAACCCTTCTATAAAATGGGTATACTATTTAGCTAGTATACTATTGGGTATACTATTGTGCTTTGAGATCCTGGAATGCAAGCTACGGTAGAGCAGTGAATGTGATTTTCTACAATGGAATTAATGTGGAAATTGTGAAATATGAAAATGGAAGCTGAAGCAATTTAAGTTTGCATTCTTTTGCATGTCATAAACTATGATTTCTCAGTTTACATAACATTTCTGCAGGGGGACATGCTGTGATCATCTGTACCAGATATGTGTCCTCGTTGACAAAGAGAGGAAATACTGACCTCTTAATATTTTTGGACTTGGGTATCTCTTTCATAGATAAGAGTTGTTAGATAAGTTAGAGGTATTTCAAATACTAAGCAATTCTTTAACTATTCAAGTTAACAGTACAAGAAATTTTAATTACGGTTTTATATCAAAGCTTTCCATTAGACAAACTGCAAGTTGTCTAATGGAATCTTTTTGCAAACCTATGAAAGGCACTCTAACTAGTGCAGCATGGAGATGATTAATACGTAGGAACTAGTTTGGCTGTGTTTCCTGTGGCAGTTGTTATAATAATGGACTAGGAATATTGATAACACATAGTATTTTGTGGCATGAGAAATTGTCTTTTGAAGAAAAGGGGAAGAGTAGTGGGTTTGTGTAGCGGTTCTTGTATTGTGTGATACCCATGTGCTCTGTGTGTATATTTTTTCTCTAGTAAAATAAGAGGAAATGCATGGTCTTGCCATCTAAACACTGTAAAAGTACTATTAATATTTCATTTATTTGGCCTTTCCGGAGCTTGCCAAAAGAGCACTGCTGTGCAAAGGATATTGGGGTTTGCATGTTGCAAAAGGTTGCTTTTTCTGTTCTGTCTTGGTTTACAGGGGCTACGTCTACACTACGAGTTTTCTTGACAAAAAATATGCTAATGAGGAACTCATTTGCATATTTTCTGCCGATCCGTTTTTGCACTAGGGGTTTTTGCACAAAAACAAACAGTGTGGATATTTTCTTTTTGCGCAAAAAACCCTTTTCCCGCAAGATTGGTATACCTTCTCTTTTGGGACATAAGGACCTTGTGGAAAAAGGGGGTTTTGTGCAAAAAGAAAATGTCCACACTGCTTGTTTTTGTGCAAAAACAGATAGGCAAAAAATATGCAAATGAGATTGCAACTCATGCAAGTGAGTCCCTCATTGGCATATTTTTTGCTAAGAAAACTCATATAAACATAGCCTGGGTTACTTGCTCTGCCTTGCATCACATATCTCTGAGAGACGGATAGGTTGCCAAGCCACTTTTATTACTGTGATAGGTGTTTCTATTATCTCTAGCAATTAGATTTCCATAGAGACTGAAAAAGCCCTTCCATATCCGTTGACTTCTGAGGGAATTTTCACACAGTGACATGTCCTGTTTTGTTTTCTGGAAGATAAACATATTGAGAAGAGAAACATAATTTTTGACCTTGCAGTAGTAGTTCTCTGAAAATAGATTCTATGCAAAATGACATTGCATGACTCCAAATCTGGTCTCAGTGACCTTCATTTCAACTTACTTCAGTTTATAAGGAAAAAGATTTCATAACTAGCAGCACCATAAACTCAATTTGGAACTGACCATAGAGCTAGATTATTTCTGCTTTGTGCATCATAACTTGTAATAACATTCTTGCCATTGGAACAAAATTAACAGTTCCATTGATGATTTTATGAATTTAAAAAAAAACCCAAACTTCCAACTCATTATGTGTTGTCTTGAATTGCAGAGCAGGCAGGCACAAAAACTAATAAAATAATTTAGTGGCATTTTAGTGATGCCCTAAGTGTCTTAAATTATTCAGTTTTGAGTAGATGTCGCTGTAACTTAGTCATTTTATAACCATACTTTAGGTCGAGCCTGACCCATGTTATCATCTTTGTGTCACCAAAGGAGCACTAAAGAGGCAAATGGAGATCCCTTTTTCATTATTTTATGTCATCTCTCATAATATGAAACATTGTTTTGATGGTGTGAATATAGGTCCCATAACCGTTATAATTAACATTTAAAAATCTATTTACTTTTATCAACAGGAATGCAGTAAGAATGAAATGCTGCTCTCCAAGCTGAAAGTCATCTCTTCCTGAAGAACTCCTTTAGGCAGTGAATTTTGTAATCAAGTCCATAAATTGACTATTTTCTGTGGTAACAGTAATAATGGCAATGCGTAGCTACATGTATATTGCTATATAAGTCTTTATTTTTCAATCTGTATTCCGTTCTACATTATTTCTTCTAGTGGCCCTTTAATAATGATCACTTCCATTACACAGTGAAGAGTTAATGCAATTCAGTTAATTCAGGAATGTTTAATTTTATTTATTTGTTTTTCACAATGAGGAAGATAAGATTATTTTGTACTTTGGATTAAATACTGCACTAGTTCTAATTTGAGGAAGAAATATATATGTATTGTAAGCTTGTAACATACTTGAAAAAATAAATCCAGACACCATGAAGAGAGAGTATAGTAAAATGTAGCGATTGATAAATGTAGCCACGGGTGAAATGGTAGGTTTTTCACTTTTTTCACCTGCTAAGGAACCAGATTTTACTTCAGTTTTACATTTTAGCCACAGATGAGATTTCACGCAATAAGAAATATGAAGCATGATGGTTAAGACTTAAGCAAATGAAAACATAACATGTATCATTCTCTAGTGTAAGAGTACAAACTTCTGTATTTTTATTACAGGAAGTGTAACTGTTGTATATACTGCTTTCTTGGAAACTTCAGCATTATGTACAGGGGGGTTGCTGATAAATAAATGATTCCAGACAAATCACATTTTAATCAATAAGACTTTTGAGTATAACTGGTTGGGTTGAAAAATGAATCTAGCTACACAAATTTACATCAACATTATTTGGTCCTGAAAATTTAGAAAACTTGTTGAACCCCCTTGTAAATTTTATATAACCTCTGTATACCGTATTTTATAGTTCAGACAGCTGCTTGTACAAAACAGGAAGTTGTTGGACTAGACTTGCTAATATATAACACATCCTCTTTTACTAAAGAAAAGAACCCAGTTCTTCATTATGTTCAGGAACATGGATGACAGTGCTATTAAATTACTTTCTATGGCAGATTAATGTGAAATAAAAATGTTTGGAACCCAATGATCTGCAGCGATTATAGTTAAGTATCTTTTCTTTAGAAGCCTTAATAGATTTATGATAAAGAATGTGTAAGAACATTCACTGACTTATATAAACTCTTGTTCTTAATATCTCACAATCTGATGGGTATATCTTATTCTGCTGTGCCAGTTCTGCATATTAACCACACGAGCTGCCACCTTTTGTTTCTTGGTTCGTTTGTGTTTAGTAATAGGGTAGATTTCCTATCGTAATAGTCAGTGCAGGGTGCAGAACGGGGTATCTGTGTCACTGAAAGGAAATCTTACAAAGCCATCATCATGTAAGTCCTCATCCAACTCCCATTACAGTCAGTGTTCTTAGTACCTTTGGACGCTGCCCTACATTTAAGTGAGAGATCTTCGTAAACTTGGGATAGGAAGGTCATGGAAATTGTCTGGTAAATAGGTTTGAGATTTTTCAAAACCATAGGATACATGTTCAGTGGCACATATTGGCCCATCAACAAGCTCCTGAATGGGTGTCAGTCCATCCTAAAAACATGTACACAGCAAATCAATGTCTTCTACATTATTCTTATTGGCATAAGATTCTTCAGATGGAAATCATACCCTACATCAGTTCTCAAACTGTGAGTTGCGACCCCAGCATGAGTCGCAACCTCATTTTAATGGGGTTGCCAGGTTGGTGTTAAGATTGGCAAGGACCTGGAGCTGTGGCAGAAGCCTGAGCTGCACCACCTAGGGCCAGATGCTTTAGTTTCTGCCCTGGGTGGTGGACTCAGGTTACAGACCGCTGCGAGGGAATGAACCCTTTGAGCTTTGGTTCCTCCACCCAAATTAGTGGGGATTGGGCTTTGGTTCTCCCCCATCCTTAGGGCAGCAGGGCTTGACCAGACTCAAGCTTCTATCCCCCTCCTAGAGTCGTGTAGTAATTTTTTCTTGCAGTGCAATGAAGTTTGAGAACCCCTAATCTATATGCTTGTCTATTAAAATATGATAAATCAGAAAGCTCAGCGCCAAAACAAGTTTTCAGACTTAGGACTTATAAAACCCATTAAAACTTCCTAAATGAATAACTAGATTGGCAGGGAAGGGGGGAATGAATCCACTACTCTGGTCATAGCCTCTCTTTAGAGAACATACACGTTTATTGAAAAGAATGACTGAGCAGTCTAAAGGTACAGTAAAGTGGTCATGAGAAGGTTAATGAAATGAAGTCATGCTCTATATATATCTCTTGTCCTTCTTGTTTTGTAAGTGGGGTTAGGTCTAGACTGCAGGCTTCTTTTTGAAGAAGCTTTTTTCGGAAGAGATCTTCCAAAAAAAGTCTTCGGAAAAAGAGCGTCCACACACACAAGCACATTGAAAGAGCGAAGTGCTTTTTTTTTTTGAAAGAGAGCGTCCAGACTGATTGGACACTGTCACATAAAAGGCCATCTGGAACCACGTCAGCCAGGGCTTTAGGTCACCAGTTGCTTCTGAGTGTTGGTGCCGGAGCCTTGCAGACACATGTGCTTTAAAGGGACCCTCCTGGACAGCCATTTCCCTGCTTTGCTGCATGCTTGTGTACCTCTTTGAGGGACAGCAAAGCTTTTGCAGTGCCTGCTGTGGTTGCCCTGCTTTTTTGGATGCCACAGCTTTTTTCTTGGTGCCATGGAGCCGGAGCTGCCTCATGGCATGTGATGACCCCACATGGCCATGCTGTAGTTTTTGCAGCACTTTGTGTTAGCTGTCTTCCTGGTCCTGCATGAGCTCAACCCTAAACTCATTCTAGGGACACTCTCTCAGGGTGCAGGAGCTACACTCTGGCAATCGCATCCCACAGTAGAGGGGCATTTCTGGAGGCTCAACACCAATTCGGACTGGTGGGATGACCAGCAGTGGCTGCAAAACTTGAGCATACAGAAGGTTACCTTTTTGGATCTGTGTGCCTGACTCGTCCCTGTCCTCCGGAGACGTGAGTGGCCTCACGGGGGTGGCTCCTGGGGCGTTTGGGGGAGGGGAAAAGAGTTGGGCAGGCACCTCCCAAGGGCTCAGGCACTCCTCCTAATTCTCTGCTTTGTGTGTGTTTGTCTCCTTCTCCAGGTTGTGAGGGCTATCAATTCGATCCTGCTGTGGAGGTCATCCGCCTGGGAGACCTGGACCCGATCATGGCCTGATTTGCTGTCCTGGGGTTCCCGAACTACACTCCTGCCATAGATGGGACCCACGTACCAATCTGCGCACCGGAGCATCAAGCAGCTCAGTATATTAATAGGAAGAGCTACTTCTCAATGGTGCTGCAGGCCCTAGTTGACCACTGTGGACAGTCCATGGACATTTTTGTCGGGTGGTCAGGCAGGGCACACGATGCCCACATGTTTCAGAACTTTAGCCTATAGGGAAAGCTATAAGCAGGCACATTCTTCCCCCGCCATGAACTAGCAGTTGGGGACATGCAGATGCCATTGTGCATGGTGGGGAACATGGCTTACCCTCTGATGCCATGGCTTATGATGCCTTATACGGGACACCTGGACCCCAGCAGGGACTAATTTAATACCCACCTGAATTGGGCCAGGATCCAGGCTGTGCGCGCCTTTGGCTGCCTCAAGGCACAGTTCAGGTGCCTGCTAACCCACCTTGACATGGAGGTGCACAACATCCCTGAGGTGGTCGCGGCATGTTGTGTCCTTCACAACATTGTGGAAAGGAGGAGGAAGGCTTTATTCCCGGGGTGGGGGTGTGGATGCCAGCTGCGAGGGGCAGGCCTTTGAGCAGCCATGGACAGTTGCCAGGCTCATCAGGCCAGGATGCGCATTTAGGAAGCCCTCAGGGGAGAGGTTCTCTCAAGGACCCCAGTAACTCTCTCCAGGGATTCCCCAAAAGGGGCCTCTGGCTTGCTGCCCCACCTCTCTTTCCCAACACAACTCCTCCCTTTACCCCTTCTCTGACTTCTCAGTAAAAACACTTGTTTGGTTTCCAACAAAATGAAGTCTATTTATCTTTCCTTAAAAATGATGGGCACGGGGTTGGGAGGCTTGGAGTGGCGTGGTTGGGGGGGTTGCTACATGTTCCACCTCAGGTGTGGGGACATCGTCAGATTTGGGGTTGGGGAGGGCTGGAGTGGGGTCAGGGATGGCAGGGGAGGGGGGCATGGAGATTGCTTGGAAAGGGAGCAGAGGCATTGCATGGGGGGCAGCAGGAAGGGGATAGGCATAGCAGGGGAGCAGGAGGGTAGTAGGCAGGAGCAGCAACAGCAGGCACGTGTGCCATTATTTCTCTCATGATGGCGCACATCCTATCACACCGCTGCATGAGCTGGTCCCAGGCACAGTTCCACCACTCAGCATCCTCACGGATCTTCTGCACCAGGGTCTGCTGCATGTCGCACAGGACGCTGACATGCTGGTGCATGAGGTCTTCCTGGACCCCGGTGGCTTTTGGGTCCCCCGGGCTGTGGCAGTTGGCATGGGTGATGTGGCTTGCCCCTCAGTCCTGAGTACTCTGGCTGTGGAGAACACAGGGAGAGGTGGTCAGTCATCCATGCAGACATTGTCCCTGAGGCCGTGTCCTCAACTGTCCTCAGGTCAGAGAAGGGAGGTGTCCCAGGAGTCAGGCCATGTGTGGAGCCCTGCCTCCCTGAGGCCCCGAGGTGCCCAGGGGACCATGCTGCCTGCTCCCCAGCCCACAACACGCAGACAAGGGAAGTGTCCAGCCACAGTGGAATCCCATGGGTGGCAGAGGAGCCGGCAACAGCCTAGCCCTCCCTGGGGTCCGCACACACCTGCAGCTCACACTGCTGCCTCGCACGTACAGGTATGCCCACATGCTGTGTGTGGCACTCCTTGGAATAGTTAAGTATCTTTTCTTTAGAAGCCTTAATAGATTTATGATAAAGAATGTGTAAGAACATTCACTGACTTATATAAACTCTTGTTCTTAATATCTCACAATCTGATGGGTATATCTTATTCTGCTGTGCCAGTTCTGCATATTAACCACACGAGCTGCCACCTTTTGTTTCTTGGTTCGTTTGTGTTTAGTAATAGGGTAGATTTCCTATCGTAATAGTCAGTGCAGGGTGCAGAACGGGGTATCTGTGTCACTGAAAGGAAATCTTACAAAGCCATCATCATGTAAGTCCTCATCCAACTCCCATTACAGTCAGTGTTCTTAGTACCTTTGGACGCTGCCCTACATTTAAGTGAGAGATCTTCGTAAACTTGGGATAGGAAGGTCATGGAAATTGTCTGGTAAATAGGTTTGAGATTTTTCAAAACCATAGGATACATGTTCAGTGGCACATATTGGCCCATCAACAAGCTCCTGAATGGGTGTCAGTCCATCCTAAAAACATGTACACAGCAAATCAATGTCTTCTACATTATTCTTATTGGCATAAGATTCTTCAGATGGAAATCATACCCTACATCAGTTCTCAAACTGTGAGTTGCGACCCCAGCATGAGTCGCAACCTCATTTTAATGGGGTTGCCAGGTTGGTGTTAAGATTGGCAAGGACCTGGAGCTGTGGCAGAAGCCTGAGCTGCACCACCTAGGGCCAGATGCTTTAGTTTCTGCCCTGGGTGGTGGACTCAGGTTACAGACCGCTGCGAGGGAATGAACCCTTTGAGCTTTGGTTCCTCCACCCAAATTAGTGGGGATTGGGCTTTGGTTCTCCCCCATCCTTAGGGCAGCAGGGCTTGACCAGACTCAAGCTTCTATCCCCCTCCTAGAGTCGTGTAGTAATTTTTTCTTGCAGTGCAATGAAGTTTGAGAACCCCTAATCTATATGCTTGTCTATTAAAATATGATAAATCAGAAAGCTCAGCGCCAAAACAAGTTTTCAGACTTAGGACTTATAAAACCCATTAAAACTTCCTAAATGAATAACTAGATTGGCAGGGAAGGGGGGAATGAATCCACTACTCTGGTCATAGCCTCTCTTTAGAGAACATACACGTTTATTGAAAAGAATGACTGAGCAGTCTAAAGGTACAGTAAAGTGGTCATGAGAAGGTTAATGAAATGAAGTCATGCTCTATATATATCTCTTGTCCTTCTTGTTTTG